GTACAAAAACCAATTTCCGCCAAATATTGTTCACTCTTAATATAATACATTTACAATATTGTCTGTCGTTTTTGTCAATGTCATTGTCGTTAATAAATTTGCATAATTTCATCTTCTGGGCCAATATCAACCAAATTTTGCACAGAGTATCCTTGGGTGAAGATGATTCAAGTTTGTTCAAATGAAGGGCCATGCTCTCTTCCAAGGAGAGATACTGAGGTAATTACATCACATCATGACCTCCAGGGATAGGGAGGAGCAACAATGAACAAAGTTTTACATAGTAGGAATATATAGGAAAATCTGTTAAAATTTTCTTCTCAAGAACAGCAAAGCCAAGATTGGTCACATTCTCAAGCTACGTAGATTCAAGTCTGTTCAAATCATGACCATTTGGGTAGGGTGTGGCCACAATGGATGATAAAAGTATAGAGGAAAAAATACTTTAAAAACCCTGACTTCTCAAGAACAGCAAAGCCATGATTGCATGGTCATATTTATATGGGAGCATCTCATCAGGTAGTGAGGATTTAAATTTATTCAAATCATGACCCTTTGGGGGTAGGATGGGACCACAATGAAAGTTCAATCTTTTAGGAAAAATGCCACAGTCAAAGAAATATGTACAGTAAGCATTGTTAGTTAGTGTAGATGCAATTTTGTTCAATTCACATCCCCATCCCCTTTTAGGGTAGAGTAGATGCAATTTTGTTTAAATCAAACCCCCATCACCACCCCCTTTTAGGGTAGCCTGGACATCGTGCATGTGAGCTTTTCAATACTGAACTGATTTCTGATTTTTCTTAACCAGTGTTCAGGTGAGCAATGTTACCCATGGGTTTCTTGTTTTTAATTGTAACTTAACTTATGAAATGAGATAATGTCTTTCAAATTAAGAAGACATGCAGCTTCCTGATGAGAATAATTTTGGGGTCCATGTATCATTTTCATACAAATGAGATGAGATATTTCTTTTCTTAAGTATCTTGCCTGTGACCTCTCTTGCCCTTCTGACAACTCTATAGAAAACAGTCGGCATGTTTTACTGTGGAAACCCTCAAGAGTCTTAACAATCAATTGGCATTTGTGTTTGTTATTGATTAGGTTAGATATAAGAATGCTCAACACTGATTTTATGATATTTGATTTGATTCAACCAAAAATTCAGCTGTGATTTAGAGTAAGCATCTTATACGTGTAGCAGAATTTGTTCCATGTGTTTGGAGGTAAAAAAATTGTGTGAAAAGATACAATTAAGCTAAACTCTTGTACATTTTATTGAACTTTTTTCCCTAATGTATTTAATATGGGTTTCACTTTTTAGCTCACCTGAGCCAGAGGAGAATAAAATATACAAATTGTTTTCAGAATGTGTATGGAATTAGGGGATGAAAGGTAGATGATTTACCAAAGTTCTAAAGTGCCAAACTGTGCGCAAAAAATCTTGTGCCGTAAATTGCACATTTTTTGAATTACGGGATCTGTAGCATTATGGTCAAAGACTAAAACCATAACACTACAGTTCTGCAGCTAAGCCAAAATCAGAAATCCAAATTTTATCTGTTGCATTTAAGGGAAAAAATATCTTGTAAACAGCTGGGTCCTGATGATCATTGATTTAACTTTGAATAAAACACCTGTAGGTCTTCAAGGAGGAAAATATCATAAAAAAATCTGCTAGACCAAAGTGACTGACAGATAGGCTTTGTGGCCTTTTGGCCACTTGTTTAATAAGCATCAGATTGAAGTTTAATTTGCACATTTGAAAAGACGTGATTATTTTCAAACACTTATTGTGTAGATTGAGTCCAGATCCTACATGCTCAACAGAATGTCTGTGACGTATACATTAATCTACATTCAATCCAACAGTTTAGCCCACTGTTTTTTTCCATGAAGGAGATTAATTAAAACATTGATTAGGAAAGTCAATACCGTATAATCCCTATTAACTGCCCCGTGCGCTTGGAAAATTGCAAAAGGGGGCGGTTATTTTGTATTCTCTTTATTAGGTCACCTGAGTAAACTCAGGTGACCTATTGCTATCTGTTTTCGTCCGTCGTCGTGCGTTAACATTTGAACATTTTTAACTTCTTCTCTGAAACCACTGAACCAATTTCAACCAAATTTGGCATATAGCATCTATGGGTGAAGGGGAACAGAAATTGTGAATTTCATGGTCCCTGCCCCCCTGGGGCCTGGGGGGTGGGGCAAAAACCACTAAAATCAGTGCAATCTTTAAAAATCTTCTTCTTTACTCCTGGACATCAAGCAGTCAAACTGTTTGTATGATTGTAATCAGCATTGAGTCCTCTACCAAAGTTGTGAAATTCATGGCCCCAGGGTCAGGGGTTCTAGTGCTAGGGCGGGGCTAAACAGGTTATATAGTGAAAATGCATTATTTCTTTAAAATTCTTCTTTTCTGCTCCTGGACATTAAATAAACTAACCAAGTGCATAGGTGAGTTGAAAATGACCGTCTTTTCCAAAATTGTGAAATTTATGGCCCCAGGGTCAGGGGTTCTAGTGCTAGGGCGGGGCTATATAGATTACATAGTGAAAATGCATAAATTCTTTGAAATTCTTCTTTTCTGTTTGTGGGCATTAAATAAACTAACCAAGTGCATAGTTATGTTGAATAAGACTGTCTCTTTTCAAATTGTGAATTAAATCCCCCCAGGCTCAGGGGTTCTAGTGGTAGGGTGGGGCTATATAGATTATATATTAAAATGCAAAATTTTTTTGAAATTCTTCTTCTCTGCTCATGGGCATTAAATAAACTAACCAAGTGCATAGCTATGTTGAATAAGGCTGCCTCTTCCAAAATTGTGAATTTCATGGCCCCAGGGTCAGGGGTTCTAGTGTTAGGGCGGGGCTTTATAGATTATTTAGTAAAAAATGAATTATTTCTTTGAAAATCTTCTTCTTTGCTCCTGAGTATTAAATAAACTAACCAAGTACATAGTTATGTTGAATAAGGCTACCTCTTCCAAAATTGTGAATTTCATGGCCCCTGGGTTGGGGGTTCTGGTGTTAGGACGGAGCTTTATTGATTATACAGTGAAAATGCATAAATTCTTTAAAACTCTACTTTTCTGCACCCGAGTATTTAACCAATGAACTATGCACATATTTATGAGGAGGAAGGATGCCTCTTTGAGATTTTTGAATTTCAGGGTCCCTGGGTTAGGGCTTCTTGTGTTAGGGCGGGGCTCTAATGTTTATATAGTGAAAATGCATGAATCCTTTGAAAATCTTTTCCTTTGTTGTTGGGGATAATGCCAAATGATCTTAGTATATGTTTATGACAAAAAACCTGCTTCTTCCAAAAATGATTAATTTCCTGGCCCCTGGGACAGAGGTACTTTGAGGGTGGGGGGGTACATAGTCTGAAATGATTTAATGCTTTGAAATCTGCACTTTGGTATTAATCAACAGCATTGTGAAATTAAATTGTAAAAAATTTCTAAAATTTTGAAAGATACGACCTCGGGGTCAATGGTTCCTTTGGGATGTGGAGCTAAACTGTTGACCAACCTCAACACAAGTAGCCCTGACCCAGGGTCCCTGAAATTCACTAAAAGTGGAAATGCATTTTCTCTGTGTTACTCTGATCTACCTCTGGGTATTAAGTAACCAAAATAAGCATGCTGAGTGCATAATTATGATAAGCAATAGTGCCTCTTTCAAAATTGAATTTCATGGCCTCTAGTTTAAAACATGAATCAAATTCAATTGTTGGAAAGTTGTCGCATGATACTCAGGTGACCTATAAGGCCCGTGGGCCTCTTGTAATATTTAATATCATATTTTAACTTCAAAAAATCCTTGAAAAAAGCAATAAATTCAAAGAACCATTAAAATAATGTTTAACGTTACTTTAAGTGAAGATAATCCACCCAAATTAAGCTAAATGATTCATTTTCCAACAAGAAATTGGATTATAGACAGGTTTCATTTTCACTTTGAAATTCTTCAAATTTTGGCAGACTTATGAATACAATTCTAGATGATTTTTAATCACTGTACAGGGGGCCCTTATTTCCTGACAATTGACAAAGACCTAAGGGGGCACTTATAGAGGCAGGGACGGTTAATAGGAATTATACCGTAAATTTCTAGCCATGGGACCAACTTCTTTGCTTCTGTAGAGTATTTGTCTTTGATATTATATGACATTTTTGTTTCAATAATCCATTACATCATAAAAAAATATTTGAATAAGTAAAAAGAATTTCTTAATGGAATATCAAAGATTTTTTAACAAGATTTTAGATGTATTCCACTACACATCAAAGACAGCGTCGAAAGCTTATTGTGCAGAGACAAGATGCTGAATGTTAAAGGATTATTAAGCACCTCATCAGGACTAACGAAAAACACATAGAACTTGTCAATAACTTTCTAGGGTTGAAGCCCATTTATCACAACAAGTGTCAGCATCCTCACTGCCATAGCCCATCTGATGGATCTGTTCTCCTTATAAATCAATATGGGATTAAACAGCCAAATTGATTAAGGTGTAAAATGTTAGACCTAGATACATTATTTAGTTTTAAAATGATTGATTACTTTTTTTCTCTGATATAATATTGATGTACCATCTAATAATAAAAATATGGTAGTCCTCCTCATACAAAAAGTATGTGGACAGAATTTTGTTATTTGTAATGGCTTGCATAGAAAACTGTTAAAACGAATGCTGAAGGTTATAGAAATAGCAAATGTTATGTATTGATCCAAAAGTTATCTATATAACGTGCACATTTATTTATCACATTTGTGCGTTACATCTCCAGGGATAAGCTCTGTGACAGATGTCACTTTTATTGCTTTTTGTTTTCTACGCATGGAGAAAAAAAAAGAGAATTGTTCAGGATTTTACCATCATTTCATTATGCTTCAACACAAAAATCAATGCTTATCTGTTCATTTTGCATATAAGAATACCAAATGGACACAGATAAAATTATTTTACATATTTTATTTTTTTTTTGGCAGGTTCTATTCTCCGGGAAATGGCTTCAAGGAAAATTATTTCAGCTGACACAGGCTTCAAAGGGACACAACTCAAGCTCTCTCTGATTCTTGAAGGAGGGCAAGTGGTTGCATTCAAACCAAGATGGTAATATTTGATAAAATTATTAAAACAACTGGAAGTAAACAAGTAGATGGGCCGGGTCACATGACCTTGTCTAAAAATGAAAATGTTTAAAATCACAGATAAGTTAATTGCCATACATTCCTTGTTTCATATGCAAGAAAGAGTTTCCAGATTTTTCTTTGATGTCTATCAAAATACTTCAGGTACAGGAGAGAGGAAATTTTCACCGAGACTCCGTACTCCGGCGCTGACCGACACAACGGTGAAATCGCAGCTTTCCATCTCAATAGGTATACATGTAATTAACTCAAGTTTCATCAATATGTAATTACCCTAGAGCACTTAGTGACACTTTTATATTGAGTTTTATGCATCAATCATGGGTCCTTTTTTATGAAGATTGATTACTTTTGTTGTAATCATTGAGATTTGTTTCATCCAAATGTTGGTCAGATTCAGATATTTTATTTATATACTCATGTAGATGTACTTTTTTTTCCACATGAAATTATTTAAAGCAATATGAGCTACATTTTGGAGAAATTAAATAAATTAATAAAAATTTGTATGCTTACTTTAATAATATGCTGTATGGCACTGCAGTTCAAAGCAAATAGAGGTTATTTAACACATATTTACATTCTTTATAAACCACTTAATGTTTGAAAACCATATATCAGTGTTTCTCTGTGATATGCATCAAGTGTTCAGTACTGTCATAAACCAACTTTTATTCATGTGCAAGAAATTTTCGCGAGGTTCGCGAGAGCCTCGTCATAGCGAATATTTCTCATTGCGAACTGGTCCTGAAAGTCTCTATTGTATTAACAACAGATCCAAAAAAGGCTTGATCATGAAAATTAATCATCGCGAACTAGTTAACGTCTGGTAAATCGCAAAATAAAAGTCGTCGCGAATAAAAGTTGGTTTACAGTATGTTACTGTGAAATATATTTGCACAGCATTGACACTTTTTTTTAAAAAACAAGATGTTTACTAATATCGGGGAAATATTTATGGAAATGAAATAAATGTGTATTTGAAAAAATATATATATACATATATTCAAAAAAAATTTCAAAAGTTGAATTAAAAAATGTTTTGTATGCATTTTCAGGATCTTGGAGTTTAGACGAACACCTTTGGCAGTAGGCAGAAAGATAAATTTGAAAACAGAAATTATTCCCAGTGGAACTGAGCAGCTGCTGAAAACTTTTTTTGTGAATGGTACATGTTAATTGGGTTCATATTGCAAATACAGATGTTGGAAAATTTAAACACTTCTGTGTTTGCACATGTTCATGATAAAATTTTGTGACAGTTGTTTTGTATAATCAGAAGAGGAAAAATGCTTGATTTATGTTAGGCCCTACAGTTTTTGAATTTTATTCAATTAAACATGCTGTGTTAAGTGCTAAGGATGAACAGTTTTGATTCATTATAAATGCATTTTGTTATACACTGTATTTACCATAATAAGTTAATGATAATGCATTTTAAAACCACAATACTGTAATCCTGTAGTGAAATTCAACTACATGTAATGTACACTTATTTCCTTTATGTAGGTTCTAACACTTGTTTTTATGGTAAGTGTTACTACTGTAAGGGGGAGGAGACGGGTGTGTGTGCGGAGGGGGACGTACTGGAGGGGACTGTAATACTGTGGCTCCCTAAGTCCTACCCCCTCAAAACTTACAGACACCCGTGGGCAAGGACCTACCGCTCTGGGAAACTAGCACAGTAAGTCTAATATCCACATGAAACAAACACAGTAAACTATATCCACCTGAAACAAACACAGTAAATTATATCCACCTGAAACAAATACAGTAAGCTAAATCCACCTGAAACAAACACAATAAGCTATATCAACCTGAAACAAACACAGTAAGCTATATCAACCTGAAACAAACATAGTAAGCTATATCAACCTGAAACAAACAGTAAACAATATACACAGTAAGTCTTAACTGTATTCTCTTGAAGCATGTTTATTTTTTTTAATACTAGGGTTTAAGAAATATAGATGCATAAATTTAGGAGATCTCTAGCCAGAATCACTTTTTGGTTTGATTGCTAGACATGGAAGATTGAATTAATATTTAAATTTTATTTTTAGATGGGAAAAGGATCCAGATTATTGCAATGCTGTAAAATCCAGTCCTATTTATGGTCATGGACCAAGACTCTTTGATTTGATTGACACTGCTGTCTTTGATTTTCTGATTGGAAATGCTGACAGACATAGATATGAAACCCTTGGAAATCAGTTAGAATCAGTTTTTCTTATACTCGACAATGGAAAAAGGTAATTTTTGAAACTTTGGTGTTCAAACCAATATTTTTTTTTTGGTTAATAAACGAAAGCAATTTAATTATGAGGGATTTTTTTCTTTGGCATATGGTTTTATGTTGTACCTAAATCTCTAGATCATACACTGCATTTACATCTTTTTTCAGCTTTGGAAATCCTTTCCATGATGAAATCTCAATTTTAGCACCCCTATACCAATGCTGTGTGTAAGTTAAAATCATTTATATAAAGTACATTTATGTAAAGATTTCAAACATGAAGATATAGTAAAGATTTCAAGACTGCAAAGACATATACCTATACATGTATGAAAACACCTCAGTATTAAAGCAAATAATTGAATCACAACAGCATTAAAAATCGGCCTATGTTTTAATATTGTCTCTGCTTTCTTAAGAATCAGGTTCGATACCTACAACAGACTTCTGACCCTCAGTGATGGAATTTTAAGCCGAGTTCTGAGGACTGTGTTGAAGCAGGATCCAATCTCCCCCATACTGACAGAGGAACATTACCAGGCTCTGGACAGAAGGCTGAAGACTGTATTAGAGAAAATTCAGACTATGTCTGGACAATACACCAGAAAACAGAGACAGAGTTTTAGTGAGAGATAGGGGGTCATGATGACAGGTTTATTTCGGTCATTTTTATATCTAGGTCACTTGAATATTCAATTACAGTTAATTCTCGATAAACCGCCGCCTTTTTGTAATTTAGAAATCATGGCGGTATAACGAATTTGGCGATGAATTGAATTTCCCATCTTTTAGAAAACAAGAAGTAGAGTTATCGTTCTTAGAAATACCATTTAGCGTTTCTATTCTTATTATTACATGTACATGTATATAAAAACATATTTCTGATTGAAAATACTTCAAGTAATTTTTTTAATGTACAATTTTGCTAAAACAAAATGTGTAGTTATGAAATAAAGACAAATATTTGTATATGAATGTAAATCTGCACATTCGATATTGAAAAAAAAAACAACATACTGGGTCGATCGTCGTGATATATTGCCGATAATAAGTAAAATGAATTCTTGAATATGTTCATTGTTTATGGTATCCTTGTTGATGGAACGTTCACAGTTTATACCGTATAATTATTTTTTCCAGCAAACTTTGCACTGTTTAAAGCAGAGATCATCAAAATAATACCGTTATCGTGTGAACTTTAACAACGACCGTGCGAAGCCATGAATAAATGATTATATTAAACAGAAATATAAAATTATTTTAACTGTTCATGTTAAAATTGTTGTTTATTTAATTCTTGTTTAATTACTTTGTATGTACCTTGTTTTAATTTGCATGCTTTACAACAGGAATAGGTCATACCTAATTAGCCGCGCTTCAGTGACCATATGCACCTGTGGCGTGTTATCGAGATAATTGACACTTAAAAATGGACGTTTGTTGTGAAAACAGGGTGGCGGATGGCGGTATGCGAATTTGGCGTTATAAAGAGAATTTTATATAGCAGGAAAAACGTTCTTGGGAAATCATGGCGGTATTGCGAAAATGGCATTTTTAATCGAATGGCGTCACTTGAATATTCAGTTACAATCCATTTTCCTTCCATCATCATGCTGTAGAAGATTTTTATTTTTGTTTTCATCTTTAAAAAAATCTTTCCCACACTTGGTTACCAAACAGTCAAAATTTACACATTATGATGTGCTGTAATATGATACGAGTCAATTGCCAAAAAAAGTTAGATTCCTGTTGGCAATGGAAAATACAATGTCAGACTTTTGAGGGTGGGCTGATATATTTTAGGGTTGTTCAGGAAACTAGAAACACACAATTGTATATCTTGGCCTAAATAGTTGAGGAATGTTGCACAGCATTTTGAGTTCACAATGAAACAAATTTAAAAGAAAATGGGGAAAATAGTTTTAAGTTATGTTTTACCATATTTACAGTTTTGGGCATTAGTAGTTCTTTTTGTTTATTTTATATCTGTGTTCACTTTACTGTTCCCAGTAAGTCTAGTCAACCTTCATGTAATCTCTTACTGAATTGTTTTTCCTTTTAACAAAAGCAAGTATCTGTGAAAAAAAGTTCATTCTTCCTCATTTTATGTTTTATTCATTGTTATAATAACTTTCAATAATTTCTTAAGACAGTCCAGCTTCTCTTCTGATGGGTTGTTGATTTCTGTGCCTCCATAATTTGTATGGTCTTTTTAGAGCAAAATTTATTTTAACTTTCCTGAGTATCAAAGAAGATTATTATACCTTTAAAAATTTGTTCCTATGCTGAATGAGATGTTTGACCGCTGAGTGAGATGTTGGTCCGCTTACGTCACAGAATGGGCGGAGCTTAATTTCATTTTCATTTGTTGGTGTTCAAAAGTGACGGTCCTTAGGTTACATCACTAAAGACAGTACAAAATACAGATTGTAAAAAATAAAAAATAATAATGATAATAAATAAAATGAAAGGTATAACAAAACATTTTTTGACCGAGTTCAAGGGCAAAATGCATTTTGTCGACCCTTCAACCAAACTGTCTGCCTTTGGCCTAACGGCCTCAGGCAGACATTTCGGTTCTTGGGTCCAACAAAATGCATGTTGCCCTTGAACTCAGTCATTAAATGTATATTATTATACCTCATTATAATTACTCTATACAAGGCGTTATCTGATTGGTTCTAGGTTATATATATTTCATATTTCACGGCCGTCGGCATGCTTTTCATCATATTCCACCTCTTCGGAACACCTAGTGTATTTTCCCGCATTATAGTTCTCGTTCGTTGAATGAAAACTCCCGAGAGTAGTAGACATCACAATAGCCTTGTTTACGTCACAAAATTGATGATAATGTGTTGATCAAAGGGTTTTATAGTAACTTTACGTAAAAAAATGAAAGTGAATTTGAGAGCTGTGCCGAATTTGAAAGTTTATGTTTATTTCAAAGGTTCGCTTGTTTCAGTATAATAAAAAATTCATTGCATGAATGTTCGGGAAACATGAAGACTTATTCAGCCAAGAAAAATCATCACCTTGATTTTAATGAGAATCTGATTATTTTATGATATTTATTGTAAGGAAGAAACCATGGATGAATCATGTTTTGTTTATTAAGGGATATACATGTATGTTATTTATCATTATCAATTTCTGCATGATTTGTTTGAATCTTTTATGCATGACAATGTTTAACAAGCCTTCCAGAAACATCAAGTAAAAAAAAATCAAAGAACCGAATGTACTGATAAGATAAAAAAAATATATATTACTCATTTACTTGATGTCTGAGTGATTTATTTTGCTAGGATGCACATATAGTGGTTGTAAATGTATAAATAAGAAAATACTGCTTTGTATAAATGAGAAGATTCTTTTTTCTATATCAATATTTGTGCCAAATTTCAACAGTTAAAGAATGATGTGCATTTTTATTTACAATTTGACATATTGAAAGTGAAGTTTTGTTAGTCTCCTGCACTTGTTCAGGTGACCTATTGCTTTCTGTTTTCACCTGTGTCATGTTCAAGGAGACTTAATTTCATGGTTTACTCATTTATTTATACTGTAGATTCAATGAATCAGTATGTTTATATATGTTAGTTGGGATATTAATTCATGGTTTAGTGTGACCCAAATCCACAAATAATGGTCCATAACAAACACTGGTGATTCCACTGTATGCTGTCATAAGACATTTGCTGCATGATACTCGGATCACTTTCCAGATTCTTCAGCCCTTATTGGTTAGGAAGTATGTGAGATATTTATCAAAAATTAAACACGAAAATTTTCATTGTAAATAAATTTACTACAATACAAACTTTGTTAGTTTCTCTTTTGGTCATCCAAGTCACACAGATGTCCTATCATTACTGTTTTTCCCCCAATATTTTGAATCATGCAGTTTTGTCCTCTTAGTAAAATTTTTGAGCTATGTTCGCTTATTATTTAAGCCAGTTCTGATACACATGCAACTTTCTCCTGCTGCTCTATCCAGTAGTAGTTGTGGAAAATCAGAGTAAGAGATAACCACGTTCTTCCACATCATACAAGTGTATTAATGTAAGCATCATCAGGTAGTTTAGATTTAGATTTCTTCAATTCATGACTGGGGTGGGGAGTTCAGCATCATCTCAAGCCACGGTCCGGAGTCCGCATATATAGCTTTCTCCCACCCGTGGCTGCTTGATCACAAAAAGTGTCGTAATCTTGAATAATTACGCCTCTCTATTGTGACGTCATATTCAGTCAGTGGCAAGTTTTGTTTCCATCGCAACAACTGACATCAACAGTATACAAGAAATATTTCATGTCCAGCAATGGGATATTGAAAGGTCGCAATAAAGTTCATCATCCGACTATGCTTTACTCGCATTGGTCAATATTTTAATGAGCTACGAAGAATTCTCTCCTAGTTCAAGCACGGCCAGAATGGGAGAGGATCGTACATTTTGGTCGTGGTTTGCAACGATGGGGGTTAGGATGAGACCACAGAGTAAGTTCAAATTTAAAGGGTAAAAAAGTCACAGTTAAAGAAATATGCAAGCCAAGCATTCTTACATGTAGTTAGTGTAGATTCAAGTTTAGCCCCTTCCGTTCTAAGGATAGGTTGGGAACACTTATGGATTAAAACTTTTCAATACTGAACTGATTTTTGCTTTTTTCCTAGCCACATTTCTTAGGTGAGCAATGTGGCCCATTGGCCTCTTGTTGAGAATTTAAGTTTCTCAAGATTCTCAGAATTTTTCACTAGCCACTGAATTTCAAATTTTCTGATAACTTTTATATACCTAACAAAGTAGCTGGATTTGTCCTCGCATTAAAACCAATGAAAGAATAAGATTTGTTTAAAATAGCCATGTGATTATATTTGGTAAAAACATTTTGTTCATTGATATGAAATATGTACAGTTATTTTGATTTTGCATTTTTTCTTGCACCACTTCTATCACATTAAGAGTGTATATATTTTGTAGTGTTAATTATTGCTGATCTGGCACATACAGATTATCTGGGACTATATTTTTGTTACACTGGCTAGATGAACAACAGAAGGTGCAGGTGAAATATTGCGCGGTATAACTTGAAGGATCATATCCAGAACATTCTTGTCTATCCGAGGTCTGGTCCCACCACTTAGTTTTACACTCATCTTTTGTTGCACATCTGAAAAAAAATATATGACCAAAACTTATGAGAATACTCATGAAAACAATTTTAATAAGGTACCTGAAATTTCCAGGTTGAAAATAAGTGTAGTGTACACATCTTTAGCAATGGTTTTCAATCTGGTAGTGGTGGGGGGGGGGGGTAGTTCATACCCCCCCCCCCCCCCCAAAAAAAGAAAATCACTTTCTTACAAACTGAAAAATACAATTTTTTTATGGGGGACTTTCTCATCTCTTTGGTACATTTGTTCTTGCAAATGCTGGAATTTGTCTATTTCATTTGTAAATTGACCTGAAATCTAAACCATTCCAAACAAGACATACTCTACATGTACATGTAATTCATGTATTCTGATATTAAAACTGAAGCTTGTTTATGTTTCTGCATCTTGGAGTAGGGAGGGGAAGTTGTGTACCTGCCAAGCACAATTTCATTTGAACTTCTATCCTTGAAACTACTTCCCAAGTGTTTGTGATGAAAAATATTTAAATAAAAATTTAAATAGTTTGAAATCTTACTTTCT